AACAACAACAACAACAACAACAACAACAACAACAACAACAACAACAACAACAACAACAACAACAACAACAACAACAACAACAACAACAACAACAACAACAACAACAACAGCAACAACAACGGCAACAACAACGGCAACAACAACGGCGACGGCGACGGCGACGGCGACGGCGACGGCGACGGCGACGACGACGACGACGACGACGACGACGACGACAACGACAACAACAACAACAACAACAACAACAACAACAACAACAACAACAACAACAACAACAACAACAACAACAACAACAACAACAAACTATACTTACCAGATCCAAAAATCAAAATTTGATGTTCCAGCATGAGACACGACAACAACTTTAAAAAATCCTTTACGCCAACAAGACCAAATACATCCTCCAACGGATAATCAAAGGGAGGCAACTCATTCAGTCCAGGTCTTTGACACAAAACGTCTTCCGTAATGCAAGTAAACTTCATATTCCGTCCAGGGGGAGGCAAAGGCACTTCGTAAATAAGATTATACAGATAACACTCGAGGGTTAAATTCAAATCGTCTTCGGTCAAACCCCCGCGATAGATTTTGTTCAGACATGTCTTTGCAGCGCTTGTAAAAGGTAGGGGCATCACAAGGCATAAACACTTCGAAACAAGTAGGTTATGCTTCTCAGAGTTGTATAATTTGATTTCAGGCTTCGGAGATGGGGAATTGTTTCGCAAGTAGGTCTGGAAGCCTTCCATGTGATCTCGGAATGGTATGGCCGAATGCGAACGGGTTTTGGTAGAGCTCAGAGCCAGCTCGGCCATATACATGTCTTGTAATATTTGCATAGCTTCGCATATTTCGTAGTCTTTGACCTTTTCGTAGAATGTCAAAGCGAAGCCATTCATGCGTGAGCCATCTTCGCGGGTGATTAAGAAGGAGTGGAAAAAGGGGGTGTGTGCCTCTGTGTTTAACTTGAACTGAAGGCCATTTGGTAGTGAGAGCTAGAAACGGAAGGGGATTAGTTTATGAGGTGAGGGGGGAGTAATGTGTATAGGAAAGGGGTGTGGGCCTCTAGTGAGGGTTAGAAAGAGGAGGTAAGTGTATGGGTGATTCCTCTAGTAAAAGCTAGAAATGGAAGGAGATTAGTGTATGGGGTTAGTGAGGAGGTTAATACATATAAGAAAGGGGTGTGGGCCTCTAGTAAGAGCTAGAAATGGAAGGAGATTAGTGTATGGGGTGAGTGATGGGGTAATGCATATAGGAAAGGGTGTGGGCCTCTAGTAAGAGCTAGAAATGGAAGGGGATTAGTGTATGGGGTGAGTGAGGAGGGCAATAACAATATTCCATGCTATATTTAAGTAAACTAATGTTGTAGATTAATGTATTGGGGGGGGGGGGGGGGGGGGCACGTATGGGAAGGGATTTGCATTGGGAAATTAGAAAAAATAGTTTTCTTACAGAATGGGAAAATTTTGAATATCAGTCATTATCAGTTTGTTTTTGTTATTGATATTGAGTATTCTTTCATTACGTCAAAAGCCTGGTACGAGTTCCTTTCCACAAGCATTACTTACCATGCAAACAGCATGCTCGTCAAACGGGTTCCACGAGACATTCTCGGGGTAGTGAGCTAACGTCTTGGCTTTGTAAGATCTCTCAACTGGAGCGACATGTAGAGAATCACCTAACAGAAGATCGTATTGAGACTACGTTCACGGTACGCCTGAGCGGTTTGAAAACGACACAGAAAAGTCACAATTTGAGCACGGTTTCTAAATGGAGCAAGATGAAAATGTTGCACTTGGCAACTTTGTGTGAACACAAACGCCGTTACTTTTTTGTACCGCTTTCAAACCAAGCATCTCAGCTCTCAAAACAGTAAATTCGAATGTGTTTCGTTGAGATTTCTTTTCTCTATTTGAAATACATTGGGTTTACATGAGCGCTAAACATCAATTCACATTTTGGGTGGGTAAAAACTATCGTGCTGAGATGTTTTTTTTCTGCAAATAATTTCAGCAAAGTAGCCAGTGGCATACAGTAATGACATGCGCTTGCTTACCGACAAGTACACTTTCGTTCTTTCGTTCGTATTTTCCCCTACTAAATTTTAATTTCTAGTGTTAGGGATACTGGATTGGATTTATTTTGTAAAAATATGAACATTTTACTTTAATTCATATTACAAATCCTGCCGGACATTTAGTTTTTGCAAAACCTTGTCCGGCTGCACGACATGTCTAGTCACTTCGAGACGACCCAGCCTTAGACAGAGTTAAATTATAAAACAGAGTCCGTAAATGTTATGGATGGTCAACTCATTGAGATTATAAATAACACTAGAGGGGGCACCGTGGGTGAAATTTGGAAGCGCGGTAATGGGGGGCAAATTGAAATCCCAGATGAACACCACACAATTCTTGGGTTGCACTTGAAACCAGAAAAATCTAAAACAAAAGTCACAAAACTGGGTGTTTTATATGTTTTGCATGGTATTGCTACAAACATTCCCCAAAAATTTTGAATTCAAACAATTAATTCCTCTTGAAAAGATCAAAATTGCTGACATCAGCATTATTTTGGAGCGCTCTCAAAAATGTGTTGAATAGACAAAATTGAAGTAAAAATGCTTCAGTTGGTAAAAATCAAAACGGGACTACTTAACTGCCATAGACAAGAATTTACTGTCGTTCCAATTGAAGTGTTGCTCAAATATTGATTCAATACATTACCTCGGACCGACCAATTCATTTCATCAAGTTCCTCGAGATATTCATACACTTCCTGTGAAAGAGCCAATTCCAAGTATTTGATCATTTCTGGTCACTTCCTTTCTATTTATGATTGGTTAGTTGCACAAACAACAAAGGTGATTGGTGCATTCAAACTATTCAACAGGAAGTTTACAATTATACTAGGAAGTGTATGAATATCTTGAGGAACGTACTTGATGAAATAAATTGGTCAGCCCAAGGTAATTAATGTATTGAATCAATATTGATTTGAGCAACACTTCAATTGGAACAACAGTAAAGATTTTGGCTCAAACTCGCTCTCATTTCAGCATTTTAATTTTTTGCCGCTGAATAGCCATGTTCCCTTTCGTTGACTGAATTAAGATTACAATGCCCCCTCTGGTGGTATTTATAATCTCTATGAGCCGGTAACGACACACGCTTGCAAGTTCCTGACAAATACATTTTCATTCTTTCATTCGTATTTTTCCCTACAAAATTTTAATTTCTAGTGTTAAGGATACTGGATTGGATTTATTTTGTAAAAATATGAAAATCTACTGTAACTTTACTTCATATTACAAATCCTGGTGGACATTTAGTTCTTGCAAAACCTTGTCCGGCTGCTCATATAGACGCTTTGTGACGTAAAACTACCCAGCCTTAGACAGAGTTAAATTATAAAACAGGGTCCATAAATATTATGGATGTTCAACTAACATTAAAGCATACGTTATGTCAATTACATAACAAATTAACTGCTGGGCATAGTTTGGATGTATAATATGTTTGTTTACATTTATCAAATGCTATCAACAATGCAAAATTGCTATAACAATCAACCTAAATTACTCAAAATCTCTCTAGATGGAGTATAAATTAAGGATAATTTGGAAGCAATTTAACAGATCCGGAAACATTTTGTAAAAATGTTAAGCACCGCACATGACTATGTTATACAAACAGCGTTTTGTTTACAAATTGCATTGTATATAACCCAAGGCTGAAGGAATTAATGAACAATTTGGACAAAAATAGCTAAATGCAACCAGAAGGAAGTTTTTATCAAAGCATAGAATCTTTTCTAAATCCTCTCTAAAGCGTTGTGCCTTTAAGAAAGGTTTTCGAGCAGTTTTAGCGCTGAAACAGTGCAGGTTTACTTAAATTTAACATTAAATGTACACAACCTAGACAGTATTTTAAACAAAGTTTTTGACAAAAAAATGTACAATTATGCAGCCATGATGGAGTTTATACCAAAGCATATAGTCTATTTTAAAAGCTCTCTAAATTACTAAGATATAGGATGCCGTTTATTCTTGTTCCAGCGCGTTTTATTAGGGCCCCAAATCAAAATCATACCTAATAGCTGGTCGGGTTCCAATCCAGAGACGCTATCCAGTCCGCAAACGACGAAGTAATCAATAAGTCGCTGTCCTCCATTAGTTGCAGACATTATGCGTTCTTCTCGTGGCGTATTTCATGCGAAAAGCAAGACAATTCAAGCATTTCGTGGCCAGAAATGCAAAGATAAAATCGGCATCTCAGGAGTAGGTCGAAGTTCTGCTTTGTTTTTGTATCGGGATTTTTAGCGACCGCGCGTGAGGTGTGAAAAAACTGGGAACGAGGATGTGGAATTGAGGAGAATACCGCTGTGCGCGTGAATTGTGGGCTCTATTAGCCAAAAATTACTGGGACTGACTGAGACTAGTGGGAAAGACCGCTGGGTGAATGATTTCTCATACAGTGGGCTCCGGAGGCAAGAGAAGACTGGGACTAGTGGAGAATACCACTGACTGAATTTTTCATACGGTGGGCTCTGGAGGTAAAAAAGACTAACTAATGAGGAAGACCGCTGACTGAATAATTTCTCATACAGTGGGCTACAGTAGTAAAATTTCTAGAAATTTTGAATAGGATTACTAGAAATTTGCTTAGGAAGGCAAATTTTTGCTATCTCTTTATATCCGAAATGGTTCTTGTTTTGAATCGGATGCACGTTCGTGAGCGCGGAAAAGCGCGGATGAACTTGCACCATCACATTACACACGTTTAAAAACGCCCAAGTTGTTACAGGTCTGCAAACAAGTTGTTACAAATCTGTTTACAAGCTGTCGACAAGTTGTGTTCGCACTGCTTGTTTCCAGTCGTAGTAATAAGTTTGGAACAAGCTGTTAACAACTTGTAACAAGCTTGATGGCATTATCAGACTTGTAGCAAAGTTGTTCTAACAAGTCTGACACAGTCATGATATAACAAGAATGTTACAAGGTTGTTCTAACAAGTCTGATACAGTCATGATATAACAAGAATGTTACAAGGTTGTTCTAACAAGTCTGATACAGTCATGATATAACAAGAATGTTACAAGGTTGACGACACAAGGTTGTAACAATATTGTTATATCATGACTGTATCGGACTTGAACAACATTGCAACAAGTCTGATAATATCAACAAGGTTGTTACAAGTTGTTAACAGCTTGTTCCAAACTCGTTGACAACTTGGGACAAGCAGTGCGAACACAACTTGTTGACGGCTTGTTAGCAGACTTGCTACAAGATGTGAGAGTTTTACGTGTGTATAAAAGCCTTGTTATCACATATGATTGAGGCGAAATGTTAAACAGACAATAGACAACTTGCATGTTAGACTAATTTTTGATCTAGGCAAAAAAAGTAAATTCCCGTGAAGAACTTATTAAAATTAGTAAAATTGCAAAATTCGGTTACGAAATGTTGTGAAATACGAAAATATATAGCCTTGCGAAGTTTGCATATTTTGTATATGTTTGTATCACGTGCGGAAATTGTTACCATTTCTGAGCCGAAAATGGTAACAATTTCCGCACGTAATACAAAGGACTTAATTTGGGACTTTATTAGTCCTGTTGTCTGTGCCTTCAATTTCTTATTGTAAAACTAATAAAAAAAAAAACAACAAAAAAAAACATATATAAAATTTGCAAACTTTGCAAGGCTATATTTTCCAAGCTTTACAACATTTCGCAACCAAATTTTGCAATTTTACTAATTTCATTATGTTCTTTTTAGCTGTGGTGTTTGATCCCCTTCTATTTACTTAGATTAAAATTTAATCTAACATGCAAGTTGTCCATTGCGTATTGCAAGGTGAAAGACACTTCTAACATTTCTTATATATCTTTAGGGTTCCTCGCCAACGATTGCCGCCCTAGATCCCAACGTGCGTAGTATGGTTATAGACGCTATGTGGGCGTGTATACAAGACTTGAGGAACGATGTCAATGTGAGGGAATCTGCTCTCATGCCATTTGTCGTTAGAAAGGAAAAACGAAAAGCGAAAAAGACTGAATCACCTTCGCCAAAAATGGAAAGAAAAGTTAGTGTCATGATGATTGATTTAAATCTAATTTTGACTAGAGTGGATCGATATCGCAAATACCGAATACCGATATCCCGCCATCAGAATACCGGTAAATACCGATATTTTTAACGTGTTTTTTTTAAGCCAAACTGAACTGCTGACCGTCGAGAAAAATCAAGTTTTGACAAAATATTAATGTGGCACATACTGTTATTAGTGCAAATGTCACAAGATTCGCATTATCAAGCTATGTTAACGGCGCTAAGCGGCGTTAGTGCCGAATCTGGGAGCATTAACTTTGCTTTCTAAACGTGATTGTAAGCAAGTTTGAATTGAAATAGCATTTCAATTCGGTATTAGGCAGCAAAATACCGAAATGTCGGTATATCGGTATTTTTAAATTGTCAATATCGCCAAACCGGTATCTAAATAAATACCGGTATACCGGATATATCCGGTATATCGATCCACTCTAATTTTGACTTTGTTAAATGTAGTGGCCAATGACATTGTCCTTACTGCTGAGTCGAGGTCGAGAGCAGGATATTACCGGTACTTAGGATGGATAGCTTTTTTCAGGGTTCGTGCAAAACTTGAAAGCCCTTGAACTTATAAAGAGGCGCTTGAAATTCCTTATATTCTGTAGATACTTTCTGAAATCGTTTCACATAAAAAAAGATGATGTTGAATCGATGTTGTTCATGTCCTAGCTGTTTGATTGTCATTTGAAGAGTTCGATGGCCTTTAAGGCTGCTGCTCTCCAATCACGCGTTTTTCATACGCACGGAAAAGTTTAAATCTTTTTAAATGTTACTTGTGAAATAACTGATTTAATTAATGTACATTTGTACAAGTAATTCATACTAGTGTTAAATTTAAAAAAGATTTAAACTTTTATGAAAAACGCGTGACTGCATGGTGAGCAGCCTTTAAGCTGGAGTAATACCGAGCAACAAAATTGCTGCAACTTGCAACAAAATATGATTTCAACGCATGTTAAGTAGAAATGTCGACACATGTTGCATCGTCATTTGTAATTTATGTGCGTTGAAATCAGATTTTGTTGCAAGCATAGATATCTTATATACACTAGATAGCGCATCTCCTTTAGTAAAACTGAAGCCAAGAATATTCCATCGGTTACACCCATTTGAATAGATGGCGGCCATGTTGGAGTTTCCCACTCGCTAATAAACGCTTAAAAACAACAATAACTTACATCGTTTGAATAGTTTAAGAATGTATTTGGAATAGGTTTAAGTTAATGTTTAAGTTCCCTGTTTAAGAAATAGAAAACATACCAATCTTCTCATTTCATGGGAATACCCTGAGCCTGCAATCACGGCTTCAATTTTTGAATTGCGGACTAATTAGATGCACTATCTAGTGTATGGTTGCAAGTTGCAGCAGTTTTGTTGCCTGTATTACTCCAGCTTTAGTCCTTGAATTTCCTGATAGGTAGTCTTAGGACTCCTGGAAAGGTGCTTGAATTTTACTCTTACGGGCCTGAAGGAACCCTGTTTCCTACTTCTGTAAGTTGAGCTTTGGTTCGAGGGTGCTTTCCGGGTAGCCCGCGGTTTTCATTACTCGCAAAAACTAACCCTTCACCTCAGCTGTGCTTCGGGATCAGAAATGGGTCGCATGGCGACAGTCAGAGGCGTCCTAACAAGCCTTCGACTCGGTCACATTTGAAGTGTGTCCTTAGCAAATTAACTTCCAACTGCAAGTAAGGGCGATAATCACCCCACCCACACATTCCAACTACTGGAGGTAAAATTTAGGGAGACTGTTCAGTGAATTGAAATCTTGTTCTTCTGTGAAAAAATGTTTAAAATTAAGCCTTCTGAAATGGCGTTTCCTGCATTTTCGGAATATGTTGTTATAAGTGATCCTATAAATTGCCATATAGTAACTTCATAAAAAGGTCAAAACAGACTATTATGTTGCTAAAAACAGTATGTTTATGATTTTTTTACGATATTTCCCGAATATTCTGAAAAATCGGGAGAATTTGATAAAAATCGGGAGACCAGGAGATTGTATGAATTTTCTGGAGACTCCCGGTAAAATCGGGAGAGTTGGAATGTCTGCCCACCCCTACCTACATATATTTCTACTATGTAGCTAAAATATAACCTTTCTTTCAGGAGGAGAAGAAAACTGAGAGCTCTAACTCGAGGTCGTCCGACGCTCCCCGTACCAGTAGCAACAATACACCTTCATCGTCGCGTAGGACAAGAAGTTCTTCACAACCTGAAGATGTCCCCATGGATACGGACGAAAATTGGAAGAAAGTTATCCCGCCTGTAAGTTTTGAAGTAATATATGAACAACGAGAGCGAGTATTTCACCGGGATATCCAAACACGAGAAAACAATGTATTTCGAGTGTTTGGATATCCCGGTGAGACACGAGCTCGAGTTGTTTATATGGCTTCTCAAATGAATCGAGACGTAACAGAATGTTTTCGTGTTCTGATTTGAATAGAATTCTTAACCAAGCATAACGTAATTAGGAATTCTATTCAAGTAATTTTGCATGCGTAATTAGATATTTGATGAAAACACTAGTGACTTTCATCAAGTTTCACCGGGTTATCCAAATGGCATCTTGTGACCAAATAGGTGATTATCATTGGCTGAATTGCTCATGAATTATTAATGATTTGAGAATTCAAATCAATTTTATTTCACACGTTTACAAAAAGATATAGTTAGACATTAATTACATCACAAAAAGAATCAAAATGGAAGGGGAACAAAAGGGAGTTAATTATGGTATTATATCGTGTACAGTGGCCAAAGTAGCTGAGAAGCTTTCGAGTTGGCCACCGTTTACAAAATTGTTGTTTTGTGACTGTGTACATAAATTGCATTTGTGACTGTTTACATAATTGCAATAAAACCAGACCAGCAAGAGATGACTCGAGATCAATGAAGAACAATTTAGAACCGCATGATGATAGACTTATCCAGTATAAAATAAAGTTATCGAATTCAATTCAATAATAGTTGAATAGCCTCTTCACGTGACATATTATGGTTGACATGATTTGCCAATAAGCTTATGAATTATTAATGTTTATTCCAGAAGTACACTGCACTTACTAGACATTCAATTCTTCATAGGAATGGGTACCAGTAATATCTCAAGACATAATACGTCAACAAAGAATGCCAAGACAGGCGCCATTTAGTGATGCATATCTTAATGGTATGCCTCCAAAACGGAGAAAGGTAATGTTGTTTATGGGATGACCACTGATCTCGTAGTAACACTTATTTCGTACTGGAACGCTAGGGAGGGGGGATTGGTAATACGATTATTCGTTTATATGTATCAATGCACGTTACTCTACGCCTCTATTATATAAGCCTGATTTGCATTACACAACTTTTGCCTAAAACTTGTCGCATGCAACCTCAATTTCTGCATTATGTACTTTTTCTGGTTATAATTTCATCTCAATCGCATGTGAAAAAGTGATTCCAGACTTCCAGTTTGACTCAACCAAAGCCCACACTTTTTCTCGTGGTTCTTTGGTTTCCTCCTGTATAGTAACACTGGGCCATCACGGAATGATAAGTACTGTAGAGAACAGTTTAGAACCGTTAGAGCTTGAGAGAACAGTTTGGAACTGATAGAGTTATATACGGTGTTAATAAAGATGGTTTTTCATGCATTGTTTCTTTTTGCTTAGATCCAGAAAAGTGAGCCAGCTCCGTACAACCAATGTGTCTCAGCAACTCTGAAACGATCCATAACAAAAGCAGGAGTTACTCCCAAAACTGATTTAGAGAGTAAGTTATTGAACAAGATCTACTGACCTTCATACAATACAATGCTATAAGTACTATATCGAATATGGCCTGTGAAACGTCTTGATGAGAACATTCGTATTCTTCAACAATTTAAAATAAATGAATAATATATTTGGTGAGAAAATTAAACTTAAAGTTTATGTAAATCAGCATGATTTTGTATCAGATATACAAATTCCTTCACGCTCATAATTTCTTTTGTGTTTTTTATGAGAATTATGAATGAGACAGTAATGAGTTTCATAATAATAATAATAAGAATGAATGGTATCGTTTTGTAAAATTTTTTGCCATGGGTGGCTATTCATTTTTTAATTGATATTTAAGGTTGGGCAAAATTTTTTAAACTTTTTGTTGGATCAGTAAAATTTTTACCATGAATAACATTCCCCCCCCCCCTGCCATAAATAATCACCGGTCCCTTATACTGTATGAGAAGTTCTTTCTAATAAAGCACCTGTATTCTTTGCAGAGTTGAACGAAGAGGCGAACAACTCTCAGTCTCTAGAACGAGTCTTCGAGGACGAAGTCAAGAGCGAAGTAAGAAAACGTCTCTCCACTGACACGGACTACAGCAGTGAAAAATTCCCCTCGATACATAAGTACTTTGAAAAAGACGAAAAACGCTAGCGTCTTGTGAACAGTGCGACATACACACTGATCGCAACAGTAAACACTAGATACCTGGATTGTGCAAAAAGTGTCAGTTTGACATATTGACTATATTGTCACACCAGACTGAACCAGTGAGCTCTACAGTAGCAGGCCTGCAAATTAGTGTCGGTCATCGGGCATTATTAGCAGGGTTGTGTATATGTGGAGTAATATTACATATATTACACATATACACATATGTATATGTGGAGTAATATTATCAGACAGTCAAGTTTTTTTCTAACGGATCATATCGCTAATCAAGTTATCAGTTTATAAAATCATAATATTATTCTTTAAATTGAAGTGAAAACACAAAATTTGGGCACTGTCAATTTCTCACGTGAGTTGTTACTCCAGATATACATATATAGAGCTTACTGGATCGGATTCAGAACTGACGAATTCGTCTCGTAAAATGCCGTACTAAGTATTAGATAAGTCTAAGAGAAAAATATGAACATTTAGACTTTTGTATTGTTATAATAATTTCATAGCTAGGATACGAAATGGTTTTCAGAACATTTTGTACATAGTGGAAAATTATTAATTTTACAATTTGTACATGTAAAATATTTACTTATATGGCTTAAGCTCTGGGCAAACTAGGAAACATTGTTGCGGAAACATTGTTTCCTACCGATATTTCACCATGTTTGCCAGAGTGGGGAAACACTAGGAAACATTAGTGAGAAACATAGGGAAACATCAAATGTTTCTGAATTTCGTAGGAAACATTTTTGCCTCCCGGGAAGCAAATTTTGTTTCCGCAACAATGTTTCCACGGGTGGACAAACATGGAAACATTTGAGGAAACATCGCGAATCACAAATGTTTCCGCAACAATGTTTCCTAGTTTGTCCAGGGCTTTACGGGCTGTTCCTATGAGCGGGCCAGACCAGGATCGTTTGAATAAACTTACCGTTACTAGAAGCAAAATAAGCTAAATCAACTCTGAAATGTTATTTTCGATGTTTATCAAAGCCGTGGTAGCGGTCTAATTTTAAACATAAGACGAACTATCTAGAATATCGTGATCTATACATGGGAATGGATAATTTTCTCTATTGTAAATTGGGCCAATTACCGCCTTTAGTTGTGTTGTTGTACATTGATAAAAAGTGATATAATGGCTTGCGCTGACCTGTATTCACTACCGATATTACGAGTGCCTTCAAAGTCAGCCAAAAAATAATCTGAATTGTTTGATAGACTATCTTATAGCAATTAATGTAATTAAAACATTTAGTTTGGTGTTTTGTAAAACGTGGTGTTTTGTTAATGTAAATTAAATTTTACAGTTGTCATGTAGTTGTGTTGAAAGTCGTATATATAATTCAATTTAAGTTTTGTACCAGAAGATTAACAAGTCGAGCGTAGCTCTGGCAGGTTTTATACGCGGGTACTTTTGTTTCCTCCTGTAGTAACACTGCATGTAGCAATATAAGAGATGACTCTTACTGGATCTCTTGGCCAGAGAACAGTTTTTAGAGATGATCCTTACTGGACCTCTAAGAAGAACAGTTCAGAACTGATAGAGCTATCCAGTATAAATTAAGTTAGTTCAGTTTAGGTTTCCTCCTGTAATAACACTGGATCAATAAGAGATGATCCTTACTGGACCTCTAAGAAGAACAGTTTAGAACTGATAGAGCTATCCAGTATAAATAAAGTTAGTTTAGTTTAGGTTTCCTCCTGTAGTAACACTGGATCAATAAGAAACGATCCTTACTGGACCTCTAGGGAGAAGAGTTTTATAGAACTGATGGTATCAAATTTGTGTTCATACCAACATGAAGTATCCATGAAAGAGCCCGCAATCTTACCTGCTGTTATCAATATGGCGGACAGCTCGGGAAATCGAGCTGGAAATGGCTCGAAGAAACAAGAGATTTTTGTCAAAGAAGAGCTGAAAATTGCCGTGAGATGCACTCTGGATAAATTTAGATATGATGAGGAACAGAAGGGTAAAGTTTCGAATGATTTCGTGTTGTTTTAGTTGTAAAAATCTGACTTTATCTTTGGTCCACTGTTGTAAATCTGTTTCAAAGTGTCAAATTTCTTGTGTAGTATTTTGTTGCAGAGAAGAAACATTGAGCCAATAGTTTATTGAAAATATAACACCGAAGAAAAGCATCGTGTTTATAAACTTGAGATATGGATTATAAAACCAGACATTTAATATCACTGAACTACACCAAATTCGACTTGTTTTGTGAAACTTTTGTCCGAGTGAAACCAGATGCTTTTCTTCTGAGACCCTGGTGGAAAATGTGTTTTGGGTCATGGGTGCGCAAAAGATATACTCCATGCTCAGAAATATGCACCAGTAACACAGCCCTCGAAAACGAGGTTAGCATTCAGCAATGTCGATCTACATTCTGGCCTCTAATCATCTAGGTCGTAGGTTCGAATCCCACCATGGCCTGGCATCTTTTTCAAGCTCGCCCGGTGTGGCTATACACTCAGAGTAACATCACAAATATCATATTCACCTGAGTACACAACACCAACACAGAAAAAAAACATATTACTAGAATACATTTGTATCGAAGGAACTAGATTCTGTTCCGAAATATCACTTACTCGAACCGTCCTGACCATGTAGCTCAGTTGGAAGAGCATTGGGCTAGTATTCCAAAGGTCGTAGGTTCGAATCCCACCGTTGCCGGGCATATTTTTCAAGCTCGCCCGGTGTGCATATACACTCAGAGTAACATCACAAATATCATATTCACCTGAGTACACAACACCAACACAGAAAAAAATAATGCTGAAAACATTTTTAAGACATCATGAATGATGGCAAGGTAAACTTGTTCTCCACCAAGGGAAACGACCTACAATAATTCTAAATATTAATAGGGTAGTTTCATCTTTCGAAACAAATCCTTATTTCTCATTATAGAAATGGAGTTTCCGTCATCGTTTACTTCAACAGAAAGAGCGTACATCCACCGATTATGTCAAGGATATGGCCTGGTAACCAAAAGCAAGGGGTAAGCCAGGGGTGGAAAAAATAGGCGAGTACTGCTCGCAGGAAATGTTAAACAGCTGCAGGAAATTCGTTTGAATGAAGATTTGCTATTGAAAATTTGAAGGAAACTTCAACACCCATGTCCCACTATGGGTACAACAACATATGGTTGACAGACATTATTCCTTGAATTTAAAACCATGGTCAGCTAGAACACTATATGTTTATGCCCATGCAGATTTAACACAAAAATACTCTGTTGGTCTGCAGGAAATTTTTGTCTCCAGGTTGTGCTCCCAGGAAGAAAATTCTTTTTTCTGCCCCGGTAATAACTCAAATAATATCAAGCCAGACAAAATTGAATGTGTGATTAGCATGTTGATACATAACTTGTTGGCAGAGCTACTGTAGGTGTATGCAGTTTCTGAGTACTCCCTAGTTTTAAATTTAAGCTTGTTAAATTTTGTAGTTTGTCTAAACAGGTGTTATTCTGTAATGATAGGTGTGGCAGTAATCGTCATCTAACCGTACGTAAATCAGACGGAGAAAGGACAAGCTCAATTAGCGGCATTCACTTGACTCAATCGTCGTGTCAACAGATTGAACAGTTGTCGCAGAGATTTCCTTTGACGAGTAAGGAAAGACAAGATCTCACCCCTAAAGTGGAAAGAACGGCAAGTGGCGGAAATGACATAAGTACGTCAAACCACCGCTAAGTCCTGCCCCGCACCACTCTCTTTGTGATGTATCCCCCTATTTTTAAAGGAGGAAATTTTTAAGCCCCTCTTTGTAGTGTTAGCAACCAAAAAATTCTTGCTTCAATGAGTATTGTTTTGAAATTTTGAGGCATGTCTGGTACCTCCACAAAAATAAGATCTACAGGTATGTCCTCAGCCATTTAGAATGTTTGTTTGGCAAATAGATCGACACTGTAGGTCATACAAGTGGTGTCTCTTGATTTTCTTCAGGTAAATCTCCAAAGGACAACAGCAAATACAATGGCCGATTAAACACAGGGCCTCCTATAATCCCTCCTGCACACCACGGCAATGAACTGACGGAGTTCCGCAGCAATTTACCCATCGCAGAATTGAAAGAAAATATCATGAAAGAAGTTGAAAACAATCGAGTAAGTACATGGAAAGCTTGTTCATTTGATTGGCATTACCTGCCCTAGCAAAGACAGTTCTTGATTATATTTGTGATAGCAGCTGTTTTTTAGCTATATTTGTGATGTATTCTCCATTTTCAGGTTGTTATAATTTCTGGTGAAACGGGATCAGGGAAGACCACACAGGTTCCGCAGTACATCATGGAAAGTTTTTGTTCCAACTCGAGACCATGTCGTATCATCTGCACGCAGCCACGCAGGATTTCCGCCATCTCTGTGGCTGAGCGTGTTGCTAACGAGAGAGGAGAGAGATGTGGACAGACTGTCGGTTATCAGATCAGATTGGATAGCAGGTGGGTGTCTGGTTTGATTTTGAAAGGCTGTGCTGTTTTTGGCATACCTTATAGTCACAGTGTGCGCAGTGGCTATAAAGTACGCCTGTTTTTGGCAATTTGGCATACTGTACCTTATAACCATGGTTCGTGGCTATAAAGTATCCCTGTTTCGGCATACTTTATAGCCATGTTGCGTGGCTATAAAATATGTCTGTTTTCAGCATAGCTTATAGTACGTGTACGCCTGTTTCGGCATACTTTATAGCCACGGTTTGTGGCTATATCGTATCCCTGTTTTCGGCATACATTGTAGCCACGGTTTATGGCTATAAAGTACACTTGTCTTCAGCATAGCTTATAGCCAGGGTTTGTGGCTATAAAGTACGCCTGTTCTGGGCATACCTTATAGCCAAGGGGTTTTTTGTGGCTATAAAGTACGCCTGTTTTGGGCATACCTTATAGCCAGGGTTTGTGGCTATAAAGTACGCCTGTTTTGGACATACCTTTTAGCCACGGTTTGTAGATATAACTGTACGCCTGATTTCGGCATACTGTACCTTATACAGTAGTGAGATATGTGGCTATGAAGTACGCCTATTTTCGGATACCATATAGCCACGGTTTGTGGCTATAAAGTATCAAACTTCAATCTGAAGTATTAATTTTACATCATTGCGTTTTCAGAACATCTCCAAAGACAGTCTTAACATATTGCACAAACGGAGTGCTACTGAGAGCCTTGATTTCAGGAGATGGAAATTTATCTTCCGTCACACATGTGATTGTGGTATGAATCATAATTATTTTGAACTTTGAAGTCCAGTTTACATTTGAGGGCACTCTACAACCAGCTATCATGGTTTATATCTGAGCTATACATGAACTCTCTGTTGTTAGGACGAAATTCACGAGCGAGATCGTTTCAGCGACTTTCTATTGATATCTCTACGCGATCTCTTGTCGACCAATCGAAGCATCAAGATCATCATCATGAGTGCCGCTGTGGACATCAATTTGTTCACCAGCTATTTCAACGGATGCCCTGTTATTCACGGTAGGCGAAGGTGTCATAACCAAGCAGAAAAGTATATTCGTTAGTTTTGAGCGCATTTTACGTCGCCTCTTATATAATGACTTCTTTTCTTCTAGTGCCTGGCCGCTGTTTCGATGTGAATACGTTTTTCCTCGAAGATGTGCTCAAGTTGTAAGTTTTAACTGACTTTGCCAACTTTTCTTAACGAACAAATTGTAGAATTTAAAAATTTCTGTATTGCTTCAGCACTGGCTACCAAAACAAGAAAATGTCAATATTGCGACAAAGCAACGATACGGGTAAGCTCAATATACGTGTTCAATTATCAAATGAGATGAAATTGTGCTCGAAACGCGTTCGAGATTACTCGTGTGCGAAACATACTAGCATTTCTAAATTATTTCATGCTTAAATTTTATTTTCAGAAGAGAGAAAGACCCCAGAGAAAGAGAAACGAGTTCGAATACAAGGTGTGTAACTGAGATGTTTCATTTTCATCAGAGGATACAGTAGCTCTGTCTCTCTTAACTGTTTTCTCTAGAGGTGTATACCATTGTTGGTGCAGTATTACTGGAGTACACACATACTGTAAAAACACCCGTAGCAGACTTTTGTACCAATCTACTTTGAGCTGATTCAAATTTTGATGAGAGTTGATGAGAGTTTTTGCTGCGCGCGCGGTTAAGGCCCTGTCACACTATTGCGTATGAGAGAAACGTATGAGAAGCGTATGAAAATTAATGAAATAATTTTCATACGCACAAAAATCCTTTGAAATGCCAGCGTATGAGTACCGTGCATCTGGCGTACTCTAACGTATTCGGCGTGTGTTTAGAGTATGCTTATCGTACAAAGCATACGTCCGATACGCACAAAATTTTTGAACATGCTTACAAAAAAATTTCTGCCTCGCCGTATGCCACCGTACGCGACCGTGCTTGGAACGTATACAACTATGCCTAACGTACCCCTAGCGTATGTCAGCGTATACCAGCGTATGAATGATATTTTTCATACGCTAGTACGATACCTAATAGTGTGACAGGGCCTTAATGTCCACTCAACTTTCATCAACTCTCATGCAACTTTTGTTCTCGTTTGACCAGGCCATGAGATTTGAGAAAACTCTTATTTAAATTCTCGCTTGCTAACTCTCAAGAACTCCCATCCTCTGATTTAGGTATACCCCGTGTAGGCATACTACTTCACTGGCATACTTTGAGCTTAAAACCATTCATTCTAGAGCCCGAAGCGAAGATCTTAATGGACGCTCAGGAGAAGGAGATAGACAGATATGAGAAAAATCATAAGAACCACGACGTTGATGTTGACGATGATCTGGGAGAGGATATTAATGTTGAAGGAATGAAACTCCAAGATAGCTTTGAAGGCAATGATGATGTATGTTTAAGAACTATATTGTCAGTGGCGTTGATTCCAAATGATTTTCGAAGAACGTGATTAAACCGTTTTCATAATGACGTCAAATGCGGATCGACACACTGCTACTCTCGCGTTTAACATCGTTATGAGAAAGGTCTATTGCATTGATTTGGATATTTTCATGATATTTCTCAAGTCAGCTGTGCGCCAAGGATTCGAGTGACGGAGAAGTAATGGACGCCATTAGATTGTACGCTTATTATGAGTCAATTTTTTTACTTGGACTCTTGAAAAGCACCCATAAAAAATTGGTCTTTGGATTAGCGAAAGGTCTGTGGAGGTTTAAACCGTACTTTGATCAAAGAAACGTCTTTATCTCCGTCTTAGGGTGATGACGTTGGTGATGTAGATAATGAAGTGCTTGATGTTACTCAAGAAATGGACTCGGCAATTTCTGAAGCATTCCTTAATGTAAGTACTGAGAGCTGGGTATGGATTTAGTAAGGGCAAATGGCAAATGATGGGGAGGGGAGGGGAGGAAGGTGCCTTCTTCTCTATCAAATCTATCCCCATGATGAGTCAAAAGTATAGACGTGTTTCTTTTGTGTTTGCATAGGGAAGTGAGGATTCATATGCACAGATTCTCCACCTGATCATGAACGAAGGAATTAATGGTAAGTTTTTTATAAAATCTTTCCCTCCTTGCCAAGTTTCATGTTAAGTGTCAACGTCAATTCTTAATGCATGACAGAATACATTTCCAAACCATTTTCAGTAAGCATTGCTTAAAATACAATTTAAATTATTTTTTGTTTAGTTGACTATCGTCATTCTGAAACGAACGCGACATCATTGATGGTCTGTGCTGGTCGAGGATCTCTTGACATGGTGGAGCAACTCTTGAACCTCGGGGCTAATCCCGACTTGACCGAACCCAATAATGCTTGGTAAGCAGAGTGTTGTTCCTTTTATGGCTATGTCTAATAAGAACGGCTGACGGGAATAAAGCTAACTTTATTTACACATGACAGTTCTTTCTCAATTCTGTCCAGTTCTCTCAATTCAAGGATCATCCCTTGTTAATCCAGTTTTACTACAGGAGGAAACCTAAACTAGACTACCTTTATTTATACTTGATAGCTCTATCAGTTCTAAACTGTTCTTCTTATAGATCCAGTAAGGGTCGTCTCCTATTGATCCAGTGTTACTACAGGAGGAAACCTAAACTAATTTTATTTATACTGCATAGCTCTATCAGTTCTAAACTGTTCTTCTTAGAGATCCAGTAAGGGTCATCTCCTATTGATCCAGTGTTACTACAGGAGGAAACCTAAACTAATTTTATTTATACTGGATAGCTCTATCAGTTCTAAACTGTTTTTCTTAGAGATCCAGTAAGGATCATCTCCTATTGATCCAGTGTTACCACAGGAGGAAACCTAAACTAATTTTATTTATACTGGATAGCTCTATCAGTTCTAAACTGTTCTTCTTAGAGATCCAGTAAGGGTCATCTCCTATTGATCCAGTGTTACTACAGGAGGAAACCTAAACTAATTTTATTTATACTGGATAGCTCTATCAGTTCTAAACTGTTCTTCATAGAGGTCCAGTAAGGATCATCTCCTATTGATCCAGTGTTACTACAGGAGGAAACCTAAACTAAACTAACTTCATTTATACTGGATAGCTCTATCAGTTCTAAACTGTTCTTCTTAGAGATCCAGTAAGGGTCATCTCCTATTGATCCAGTGTTACTACAGGAGGAAACCTAAACTAATTTTATTTATACTGGATAGCTCTATCAGTTCTAAACTGTTCTTCTTAGAGATCCAGTAAGGATCATCTCCTATTGATCCAGTGTTACTACAGGAGGAAACCTAAACTAAACTAACTTTATTTATACTGGATAGCTCTATCAGTTCTAAACTGTTCTTCTTAGAGATCCAGTAAGGGTCATCTCCTATTCATCCAGTGTTACTACAGGAGGAAACCTAAACTAAACTAACTTTATTTATACTGGATAGCTCTATCAGTTCTAAACTGTTCTTCTTAGAGATCCAGTAAGGGTCATCTCCTATTCATCCAGTGTTACTGCACAAAAGGAAACCGGAGTTCCCCGAGAAGACCTCCGGTATTTAGCAGAGACAAAGTGGAATCACTCGTCTCAAATGTACTGTAACTGGGGTGTTAAATAATTTTCAACATTCTGTGACTGCTGCAGACTGGGCAAGAAATTGGAACCACGAGGAAGTCGCTCAGTTCATTGAATCTTACGGGTACGTTGTTGGGCATTGTTTGAATGAGTTTTGTAAATTTCGAAGGTTGTTTCAATACATCATCATGACAATGTGACAGGTCTATGGCTATCTCTCTTCTTACAGATCCCAGCGAGCAAACCAAGTCGATGACGTGATACTTGAGCAACAATCAGAACAACTGAACAATGAAAGTAAAGAGTTGTTAAGTCTTTATCATAAGACCTTTGATGATGACAAGGTGATTTGCGGCTTAAGAATTTTGTGTTGTACTTGTAGCAAAGTTGTTCTAACAAGTCTGATACAGTCATGGTATAACAAGAATATTACAAGGTTGTTCTAACAAGTCTGATACAGTCATGATATAACAAGAATATTACAAGGTTGTTCTAACAAGTCTGATACAGTCATGATATAACAAGAATGTTACAAGGTTGATGACACCTTGATGTAACAATATTGTTATATCATGACTGTATCGGACTTGTTGGTACAGCAAGGTTGTTACAAACTTGTTGTGAGATTACTTATTAGATATATTTTGGGTTCTCTGGGACCGCTCCCCATCTATAAAACTCTCACATTACTGATATCCGATATGGAATTACACAGTCCGAAAGCACAAATCGTTAGAGCAAAGAGATAGTTTGCGATATTTTCCAGAAACTAAAACAAGTGTTGTGAAAATCATGAGCGTGAAGGAGTTTGCATAACTGATACAAAATCATGCTGATTTACATAAACTTTATCTTCAATTTCATTGGTTTATCTTAAATTGTTGAAGATAGTACTTATAGTATTGTCGTTCAACATACACGGCCTTATTACCGAATAAAGCCACAATAAAGAAATAGTGGCAAAAAAGATTTAGTATTAGGATGTTAGGGTTTGTAATCCAAGTGAGAATATATACATTTTAAGACCTAACCAGGAACGACTGCGAAAATTGCAGCACAAGATCCTCTGGTAGGAATTGAACCTACGGCCCTGCGATTCCGGTGCAGCGCTCTAACCAACTGAGC